GACTACTGATTAACTTCGTCCGAGTGATTGACATGTGACCTGTTTTAATGAACAGTGATTGCTCGGGGGAAGCATCGAGTTTATAAACCTATTTAATGGCTTTCTTCTTAGGAAAGGATTGCCTTTTCTATTGCCAATCAGTAAGGTTTGAAAGTACAAATTTTAATACAACTTAAAGTTAAGTTAATCCCAGAACAGATTCCAAGGAAACTCAGGCCACTTGGGTATGCTCAACCCATGGATCTAAGCCAATCTTAACTCCAATCTCTGCGAGTTAATTTCAATTTCAGAACCTGCATATAGCCACAATAATTCCGTTTATAACCCGATGGAGAAATGAGCTTGGAACGAGGCTCATAAACCAAACATCAAACGTTTTCGGGGCGATTTAAATGAGTTCGCATTTTGATAGAAAATTTCTCAGCCGAATGCGATTTGAATTTTTAATTAGCCAAAGTGAAGGAGGTACAACCATGGCCAAAGACCAACCAAAAAGTGAAGCACAAAGGCGGCAGAAATGCTCAACATTAAAATCAAATAAAACTCGCCTGAAATTGTTAAAATTCCAAAACGGTAGCTCTCGATCTAAGCCATAAAACGCACCCCATATAGCCAACACTCCCCCGAAGTCCCCTCTACCTCTCCCTCTGATCACGTAGTCCCCAATCTTCCATCTACCCGAAAAGTGGGCACGTCCCCAAAAATGGAGTCACGCATGCGCGGGGGTCAACTTTCCTAGAGATGGCCTCGTGTTAGGGAAATACCTTTGATGGCTTTATTAATCTTCTTCAGATTTTCCTTTTCCTTGAGAGGGATATCTTGTTAGTATTATCCTTTCATTAAGACTTGCCGATTCACTCACGACATCAGCCCATCTCTAGGCTCTAAAACATCGCATGTCCATATATCGCTGGCCATAGGCCGAAAATTCGGTGAAAATTTAAATTAGGGGCCGGCCTGCCATAATTTTTTATTGGCGGCAATGAGACAAGTGTGAAAAGCGCGAGCGGCCAGAACAAACGACCGTTCAATCCTTTGGCCAGGACACGCAAGCGGCGTTTGAAGGGGTTGAAGAGAGGGGGAGGGGAGGAAACCAGACAGGAACGTGACTGCGGCTCGGCAACAAATTTGTTTTGGCTCCGGGAGTGGCCAATAATTATGCCCAAAGATCGTCGGGCACTTGGAATGCCCGTCGCATTTTAGTTTTTCATTTCGATTTCCCTCCCTCCACCTTTGGCCTTTTCCTTGGCCGCCTTTCCTCTGGGACTTTGAGGGAACCGCCGCGCCGGCAGGATCCTCTGAGTGCCCTGCCCCATAAATCTGCCGCGGGCCAAGAACCGATCCGACGACGAACGGAAGTAATTCCGTTTTTTATTTTATTTCAGTTGCATTTTTGAGTTTTCCTTTCTACTTTCGGAAATTTTTTCGTTTTGGATTTTAAATTAGGCCAGCAAAGAGGCCGCAGAGCGATATTGAAATTCGGTTAAAGATTAACGCCCGAGGATAAGGAAAGTGTAGAGAAGAGGGGGGGAGAAAGGGTTCTGGAATTTCGGGTGACGAAACCGGAGCTTACCGATTGCATTTTTGATTATTGCTAAGGGGATCGGGGCAGTCGGTGGAGGGCAATGAATAATTTATGGGGAGGGGGAAAGGGGTTTTGAGTTGGTTGTTTTGAGGTTGGAACAGGGGTTCATATGGAGGTTTTAACTCGCATTTTTATACTTTAACTTTGAATTTAAGAAACGTAAATGTAGATCTAGAAAAAGTTTACTTTTACTACCTTTACCTAAAGGAAACACGTTTTTAAAAACTCAATCGGAAATTACTTAATAAAAAATCAAATAAAAAAGATGATGGCGATTCACGAGTTAATTAAGCAATTCTTTGAATGGCCTTATAAAGTTTAAACAAATAAATATAAAATATAACAATTCCATGGTTTACGGTTATGAAGCTAATGGATTTAAAAGATTGTTTATTCATGGCTAAGCCGAATCCATCTACATGCCATGCCTGCTCATCGCAGACTTTTAACGTTGTTTTGACAATCTGCGAAGTCATAAAAGAGCGGCTATATAGGAAGTGCCAAGAGAATTGCTAAGAAAAAAGATAGTTTTTAAATTTTTTCAGATTTAAGATTAGATTAAAGATCAAAACTATAATTATATATATATTATTTTTATTCATTAACCTAAAATAAATATAAATTTATTATCAATCATAAATATAATATGATTATATACCTAAATTAAATATTAAAAAAAAAAAATTTCAAAATCGAAAATAACATAGCATTAACTTAATAACAGAACTATAACATATAATGATCCCCTTTCAAATACCTTAACATTTGCCTTAAGAACCATGTTAAGGGCGTATAAGACTTTTAACATTAACAGCGGAGAGGAACAGCGCTGTCTGTGTGAGAGTGCGACAGAAATAGCTGGCAATTCGAAAATGAGCGCAGAGCGCGCATATGTACGAGAGTTTAATCAAGGGAGGGAGAGGGAGAGAGAAGGCAACCTGTAGGCAGTCGAAGAGCGAGAGGCAGCGATGCGCTGTTGTTGTTTTCGTTATGATTATGAGAGTCTATCAAAAACTTGTCTGCGCTGCCGCTGTGTGTGTGTGTGTGTGATTGGGGGTGGGGGAGTGCTAGTGCGAGAGTCGAACGAAAGTGTGTGTGTTTGTAAGGAATGCCTTGGTGTGGGTGCGAATATGATGGCAGATATGAAAAGGGCAGATCCGCTTTTTCGTTGGTCGAAGCTGCAAAATGAGCGAATATGAGCGTTATGAATTATGTATTTGCCCTGTACATAAACAAACCCTCTCTCGCACACACATACTCTTATGCTTTATGCTTGTGTTGGTGGCTTTTTCTTACTGGTGCGCAAGGTGGCTCTCCCCTCTTCTACCCTTCCCATTCCAAACCCACCCATCATCCTTATCCCCTCATCCACCTCCTTTACTCATTTTTTTTCTCTTTTGCCGTCTTTCTTTCGCCTTTTAATACGTATTATTTCCTACTCCTCCCGTTTTTCTGCATTTTATTGGCGCTCTCTTCGGATTTCGTTCGCTCCCAGAAATTTATGACAGCCCCTACCCCCGCCCTCAGCAACCCACTCGAGGGCAGCGACGTCGACGCTGGCAGCATTATTAATGCCCCCTTTTATTTCAGCTTATTGTTGTTTCTGTTGCTTCTTTTTTGCCGAGGTCCTTTGTGCCTTCTCTTTCTCAAATGATTCCATCGCATTCTTGTTGGTTTCTGTAATAAAGTCAATTTCGAGGCTCAAGTAGCTCCATGGGATGGGATTTTTCCTTGTCAAGTTGTTCCAGATCCTTGCTAGTTTCTTAACTAAGAGTCTGAGGTTTCTAATTATAAGAATTAAGAACTTCAAGAACTTAAAATGAATGTAAAGATATATACCTTGTTACTACATATATGATTAGCTATAATGAAAGAAAACATAAATAAACTGTAGGACAGGTTTAAAATTAAAGGAGTTTCTATTAAATAACTTATTAAAAAGCAAAACTAAATAAGCCCTTAAAAAAGAAGAAGTTCTTAACATTGATTTCTGAATCTTTATCAAGCTTCCCATTAAAAAGCTCTGAAATTTCGTTCTTAATCAACAATCGCAATATGTTTTCCTATTTCCCACTTAATTCTTTCCTTAAATGTTCAAAAACTTTGTCAAAACCCATTAAGTTCCTCATCAATAAGTACTTTTTTAATCAGAAAAAACCATTTAACAAAATTATAACCATGGCAAATGCTTAATTGATTTTCCATAAACAATCGCCGTTTTTAATTAAATTGAATCACTACTAAGTCGAGAAACCTTCGCAGCAATCACCCACTCAATCATCAATCATAACTCATTCACCAAATGTTTCTTATTGTGCAGTTAAAAAATGTAACTAAAAAGTTGGAATCGCCAGGTGTTTCAGCTTGACAAAAGAACATTTGCAATTAAAATGGAAAACTGGCACGGAGGTTCTTAATTCCAGCGTCTTGAAATGCCAAAAATTCCTCATTTCTTAGCGAGAGAGAGAGGGAAAATAATTAAGAAGTGGGAGTTGCCCAAAAGTCAGAAAGCCAAATGAAAAAAATAACAGAAAACATTTTGATGAATGGTTCATAATATTCACACACACACATGGGCACCCTACACACACACACACACACATACAGATAAACCGACGAATAAGCGAAGTCACCCAAGTCAGAATTCCTCCATAAAAAGGGGGGTTTTTTATACGAACAATAGCGAAGAACAGAAAATCTTATAAAACCGAAATTAAAAAAGGCAACAACAACGGCTCATAACTGCGCCGCCGAGCGAGATGGCAAATGTGTGAGAGAGAAACATGGAGAGAGTAAGCGAAAGAGGGAGCAACAAATGGCAGGCTCCCGGGCGTTAGAGCAAGCGAGATGGCCGGCTGGCAAGGGCCGTTAAGCAAGGGGCGGGGGTTGCCCCTATAAATTATGATAAATTATTAATCGAAAGAGCGAGCAAGACGGGGCATCACAAAGGTGAGCCGCAAAAGGCGGAAGGAAGTCTCGCTGCTTCTTCTTCTACGAGAGAGGGAGCGCGAGAGAGAGCAGCTCATAATTCCCCGAACAAGTTTCATAAACGTCTCTCTCAGGTAAAAACGGCGACTGCGACTGAGCATCCTCGAGGCAAAAACCAAAAAAAAACACAAGGGAGTGAGCGGGCTGGCAAGAGTAACAGTAACAGCAATTTAATAAAAATTATGATAAGAGCGAGCGAGAGGCGCATATGAAAAATAATATGAAATGCGAGCGGGAGAGCGTGTGTGTGTATGTAAGTGAGCATAAGGTGGGTTGGCTGAGTGATAGATGTAATAACAAACACACACGCGCGCACACACAACAAACCGGTTGCACACGAAGTAAACCGAATGAAAGCCGAACGGCTGTTATTGTTTGTGTCCCCTTCGGTTGCTCTCTCTAGTTGAACACAAATGTTAACTTGGGAGCGGGAGAGTCGACGTCGGCAGCGGCACGGAGATAGTGAGAGGGAGAGAGAATGACAAATTCGAACTGAAAGGCGAGTTTCAATTCGCCGAGGCGAGTGTATCTGTAAGTTATGGTGGTGTGTGTGTTTCTCCATTCGTTGCCGTCGCAGCGAAAGTATCTCAATCTCTCAGATACCTCGGTACGGCACTCGAAAACGGACACAGCCGGTTTCCAACAATTTCAGTACGAAAACGGCACGAAGTCGGCTTCGACGTTTTTTTTGGAAGCGCGTAGATGAACGTCCGCAGCGAGCACTCGATTTCTCTCAGTGCCGCAATCGTAACACGTTGCGTATGCGTAACGCGCACTCAGTTCTGTTTTTAGCGACTTTTCCTTCGAGCCACACAAGTTAATTTCCCAAGTGCCGCCGCGAAAATCACAACACAAACGATGACAATCACCGGGCAGCTGTAGTTTAACTTGGCCATCAGCTAAAATACGAGAAATATCTGAAAAAAGAAACACGCGACCCAACGCTTTTCCCACTGCCGACGGCAAAACACAAAAGTGCTGAAAGTAACTAAAATTTACTTATTTTTACCCTAAAAAAAGGAAAAAAAAAACCAAAACACAGTGCAATGATCGAGCAAAGTTAAGAAAAATTCAAAACAAACAAAAAAGGAAAACCCCGTTCACGGAAAAGTGCTAGCTGAAAAGTTCTCTTGATGAAAAATCACCTGTCCAACGTTCTGTGTGCGATGCGTAGTGACTTCAAGGATAATCACCAGGAGACCATCAATAAAATGATACAATTTGGTACAGTGAAATATGGCATTGTCAAACAGCTGAAGGATCGCGCTCGCAGCGCTGACAAAGGTGAGCTGAAAATCTATTTTTCGGGAAATTAGAAAACCATGCAATAGGAAAAGTTGGAAATTTTATAAATTGTCTTTGACATAATTGAAATTCCCGAAAGACAAAAAAATCTAAACACACTTTTCGACGACTGTCTTTTATATTTTGTTATCCTATTTGTCATTCGGCAAAGTTTTCCAAACCGAAAAAAGAAAAACAAATTAGAAAGTATTTTCATATCAGCGGTGCTTAAGACAGCCTAACTGAACCATTTAAAATGAGTTAACAAATTTGTCATCATTGTTTTCCCTTGAGTCGTTTTCCATTTGACTGATAAGAAGCCGAAATGGAAACCTCAAACATTAATAATTTTGGGCCAAAAATCGTAGACAGGCCTTTTGAATAAACTTCAAATCTGAGTTTGGCTTATCGCGTCTTTAAAAATGGTTTATTCAAATTTCGAAACTTATGGCTGCGACTGCACCAGTTTTCCCTTCCAATATGGATAAATTTATACATATAAACTATAATTTTTGGGTTTTGCATTTCCAGTTTTTGATTTAGTTTCAGCTGCTATTGGCTAAGACCCCCTCTCGCCTTAGGCGATCGTGTTTTTTATGATAAATCAAAAATCGATTTCGTTTTAATGGAGCAACTTAAAAACGATATGATTTAAATATGGCTTCGGCCCATTTCATATAGAAGATATAACTTTTGGGAAAGGCTTAGCCTGCCTCTTTTTGGAGGCCTCTCCTCGGCAGGCAGGCGTGTTTCTTTAATTGCTTTTGAAAGCTTCGATTTTCGATTTTCGGTTTTGGAAATTTGCATGCCAGCGAACTTAATTATATTTATTGAAATTTTTAAGGCTGATGAATCAAGTGAGTTTTACGATCAGTGGAAGTTAAGCAATGTTGGTTACAAGATTAACAAATAACTCCAATTTATTCTGATTGATTTTGAGATTTACGAAAATAAAGAAGGTTTTCCTTTTGCCAATCACAAAGTGTGTGCTTATATATATCCCTTATATATATAATTACAAATGAGTTCACATTAAATTTTGAAAATCGCTGGCCATCAGCTTTAAAAAGGTGATAAGGTGTGTGTGTGAGGATATTTTTTAACTTTTTTTTTTTTGCTTTTATCAATTTGTTTGGCGCGGTTTTTTATTTATACACCGCATATGATGGCATGTATGTAGGTATATGAGCTGAGAGTGGCTGCTGCTGGGGGCATTAATAAATGTTAACTCATTAGTGCGGGCCAATAAATTAAATTAATATCGCTAAAAAATGAAAATCGAAGCAGATCCGCGGTGAGTCGGCGCTTATTTCCATATGATTTATATGGACTATAATACTCGCACCTTGCCAGAGCCAAAAGCCAATTCTGTGCATATGGAAATGCTTTGTAATCGAAGTCGCGCTCGCCCAACTTAATGACATTAATTATTTAATTATTTTTATTTATGCGATTTTGCTTTGGTATTTGCTTTGCTATTTTCCCCAACAAAGTTGCTATTTAAAATGTATAAAAAAAAATACCTAAAACTTCGATGGCCCATTGCGACCTATGGCAGCCAAATCCGATCAGACCGGACTTGGATATATATTATTCAATTATGCCATACACTCGATGTGCCTTCAGTGTTGTTTTCAGTTCGCTCACATTGTGTATACTTTATGTAGTTTATTCGCATTTCTTTTTTCCATTTTTTTTTTTTTGATTTTGCATTTTCCAATTGGCTGAACATTTGTTTCACCTCAGGCCACCGGGCTCACGGTTGGCTCGCAGCGATTTGCATATTGAATATGACGATGGAATAATTGAAAGTCAGCCCAGAACTAAAGTCGAGGCGTATGCAAAAGCCAGTGCTGGAGGAATGAACTGAAAAGTGTCGAGGTGGAGGTACGAAACCAAGGGAATTTCGAGTTCAGCACACAGAAAGAAAATGGACTGTTGATTGATAGTATTTGGAAACTTTGAAAATAGGTTTTAGATATTCTTATATCAAAAGAAGTGGAATTCCTTAACCTATAATCAATAAATTGACAAAAATATAAACATTTTTCGTGTTTATCTTCATAATTTTGTACATTTTCCTTAAGAAAGTTTAAGTCAATGAAATGTTTACTTAAATATCTTTATTTTTTTTACCAAACACTTTCATATTCATAGAAATAAATGTTTTTCACTTAATTTACTTATCACTAAGAAGAGCTAAGTAAAGAATTGATCTGCTGAAAGCTGAAAGAAGCCAAAACCAAATTTATTTGCCTCAAAATTTCTGTTGAAAATATTTGGACACATAAAATGGCAGAAAGTTGACATTGGTTAATGGGTTGATGGAAAGCAATTATGAGTATTGCATGACGGGGGGAGGTGGTAGCACAGAAAAGATACTCCTCAATCGTTCCTGCACGCGGGATTTATTCGCTTTAGTTACGCATGAAGATCGGGAATAATTCATTCGAATTTAGCCAAACAGACACGGGCCAATTTATGGCTTGACTTAATCCACCTTTAAACTTGCACGATTTAATTTATATAGCAGGGGGATGTGTGTGTTTCGACAATGGGAAATATAATTTCGTCTCGTTTCACAATTTCATATTTATTTATCTGGCCAGCCGAAACAGATACAGATACAGCTAGAGATACAGATACAGCCAGGCAGTTGTCAGTAGAACAAAATACGATTTTGGTAGACAAAAAATAAATCTTTAAACGGCCCTCCAACACACAGATAGACCGCATCGGTGGCAGAATCGGTGTATATATAGACTTAGTTAAATGTTTGGATATTTTGTTTTGGGCGCCCACGCGTCCGAGGAACTAAAATGCGGCAAACTAAAAAAAAAAGAATCTCAAATCCAAAATCCAAAATCGAATCGCGGGGAATAAGGCCTAAGGCAATGGCCTTTAGACGGGGCAATATCTCCCTGTCTTTGGGCCAAAACCAACACCAACACCAACACCATAAACCAGCTGCGTTTATTGTTATTGTAAATTTAACAATTTTATTACCAATTGCAAAATGACTTAACCATGTTCGAGACAATTTTATGTTCGTCATAATTGGAAGTTGTTTTCTTTTTGTATTTGCCTTTTTCGCTTGCCGCCGCTTGAAAGGTTTATGGCAACATTATAATTAATTTCAATTAATTAAAATACACTTCACTTATCAGCAATCATAATCATAACTCCTCGCTGGCCGAGCGGTTTCGTTTTTGAACTGCAATTGCAGGCAAAAAATAAATACTTTCGCCTTCTTAATTGAATTTAAGGCGGCGCAAAAAGTATCTTAAAAATCGATTTTAAGCCACCGATTAGTAATAATACAAATAATATTAATGCGATCGATATGCAAATGGCGCTGATAGTCTGTATCTGCATATCTTTTTGTACTCTCCAGCCATGTATCTGTATCTGTGTATCTTTTGTGGGCAAACAAACAGAAAGAGCTGAAAACTCGCCCAACTCGTTTGATTTGTGCAGAAATATGTTTTATTATATATATCGGGCGAGTGTGGCCCCAGTTCGTTGGCTCTGACTTGTCATAAATTATATTTTATGTGCGTGTGCGGCTAAAGTTGCCGGTGTTGCTGATGTTGCTGTTGCTGGTGGACCAATCTTTGACTTGGTTTGCTTTTTAGGCTCGCCGCGATTAATTAGTCAGAGGCACTGGACCAGGCCAAACGGCTGTCAACTGCTTTCTCCCCTTTGGACAGCTCACCTGGCAACAAGTGAGCATCAGTCGGCCAGCAGCAGCAGCAACAGTAACAGCAACACGAGCAGCAGCAACAATTGCAACTGCCAGCGATCGACTTGGAGACTAATTGTGGGCTGAAAACAAAAAAACAGCTGCCACCGAGGGAAAAGGAGAGAGAACACATGCTTCAACAAGAAATGTAATTGCATTCAGTTGGCAGCAGCAACAACAGCAACAGCAACAGCAACTAGCTGCAACATCCCCACACCCGCCAGCAACTTCAACGCATTGCAATGAACAATTGCCGGCGATTAAGTCATATGCAACAAAGGGGCGGAGAGGGGGCAGTTAACAGGTAGTTGAGTTATCGGGAAATGGTCAGCAATCTCAACCAGCTTCTGACTATTTTGGTTTCACTTTAACTGCATCTATGGGCCTCTGTGGAATGCCGAGGAAAATGTAGGAAAATCAGTTTCATATTGGAAGTTATTTGCTGTTGCTTGCTATAAATTATATAATTTATTTATATTTATATTAATTTTGTATAAATTATATTTAAAAATACCATTTTCTGCCCTTTCAGATACTGGTAGCGATCAGGAGGAGAATGGTGGCTGCTCGCCACTGACCACGGCCACCACTACGGCCAGTCCCAGTCGGAGTCCCGAGCCCGAGGAGGAGCACCACGCAGAGCAGAGCACCCAAGAGCAGCAGAACAACCTACAATTCGAGGTAAAATCAGAGATTGAACCTGTTGAGGATAACAACAACAGAGTGGAAATGACCAAGCCGAGTTCCGAGGAGCGAGAGCCGAATGCCAGTGGCTCCATGCCAAGCTCACCAGTGGCAGAGGCCAGTGCCGAGGAGGCGGCCACCGAAAGGGCGACGATGAAGATGGACAAGGAGATCGAGGTGGATGTGGAGATGCCCGATGAGCCGCAAAGCAGTGCGGTGCCTGCCACGGAGGTAAGCTTGCCGGGAGCAGCAGGAGCACCAGTTACCCTGGAAGCCATACAAAATATGCAAATGGCCATTGCCCAGTTCGCGGCCAAGACCATCGCCAATGGTTCGAATGGAGCGGACAACGAGGCTGCCATGAAGCAGTTGGCCTTCCTCCAGCAGACCCTCTTCAATCTGCAGCAGCAACAGCTCTTCCAGATCCAGCTCATCCAGCAGCTCCAATCCCAACTGGCCCTCAATCAGGCCAAGCAGGAAGAGGAACTCGAGGAGGATCAGGATGGGGAACAGGATCAGGAGCAGGAAACTGATACCTACGAAGAGGAGGAGCGCATTGCCGATATGGAACTGCGCCAGAAGGCGGAGGCTAGAATGGCGGAGGCCAAGGCCCGTCAGCATCTGATAAATGCTGGAGTTCCCCTGCGAGAGTCCTCGGGATCCCCGGCGGAATCCCTGAAGAGGAGGAGAGAACTGGAACACGAGTCCCAGCCAAACCGTAGACCGAGCTTGGATAACATCCACAAAGAGGCCTCGGCACAGGATGCCCTGGCCAAACTCAAGGAAATGGAGAACACACCTCTGCCCTTTGGCTCTGATCTGGCCTCCAGCATTATCACCCACCATGATGACCTGCCGGAGCCAAATTCCCTGGATCTGCTGCAGAAACGCGCCCAGGAGGTGTTGGACTCTGCATCGCAGGGAATCCTGGCCAACAGCATGGCCGATGACTTTGCCTTCGGCGAGAAATCGGGTGAGGGAAAGGGTCGCAATGAGCCCTTCTTCAAGCACCGCTGCAGGTATTGCGGGAAGGTTTTTGGCTCGGACTCCGCTCTCCAGATCCACATTAGATCACATACAGGCGAGCGACCCTTCAAGTGCAATGTGTGTGGCAGTCGCTTCACCACCAAGGGTAACCTCAAGGTTCACTTCCAGCGCCATGCCCAAAAGTTCCCCCACGTGCCCATGAATGCCACGCCCATTCCCGAGCACATGGACAAGTTCCATCCGCCGCTGCTGGACCAAATGTCGCCCACAGATAGCTCGCCCACCCACTCGCCTGCCCCGCCTCCGTTGGGCTCAACTCCAACCTCCTTTCCGCCCGCTTTTCCTGGCCTCCAGAATCTCTATCGTCCGCCCATGGAGATCCTGAAGAGTCTGGGTGCTGCTGCCCCGCATCAGTTCTTTCCGCAGGACTTGCCCACGGATCTGAGAAAGCCCTCGCCGAAACTGGAGGAGGAGCAGCTGCAGGTGAAGAATGAACCCACTGAGGAGAAGGATCAGCGGGAGCAGCAAGAGCAGGAGAATGCGGAGTACTCGGAACCTGAACCGGAACCTCTGCCTCTGGAAGTTAGCATCAAAGAGGAGCGCATGGAGGAGGCACAGGCGCAGGTTAAGGAGGAAGATCATCGCACGGATCTGAGGAGGAAACCCTCTCCTTCGTCCGAACACCGCTCCCTGCATCACCAACACCACCGTCACAGCTACCATGGCTATCCGCCGGTGGTGCAGCCCATCCAGCCAGCTGCCCTGATGCATCCACAACCCTCGCCGGGCTCCCAATCCCACCTAGATCACCTGCCAACGCCGGGGCAATTGCCACCACGCGAGGATTTCTTCGCCGAGCGTTTTCCCCTCAACTTTACCACCGCCAAAACTCTTTCCCCCGAGCACCATTCACCCGTAAGATCGCCCGCAGGGGGAGCACTTCCGCCGGGAGTACCCCCACCACCTCACCCACACCCGCACCACATGGCCAGGTCGCCGTTCTTTAATCCCATTAAGCACGAAATGGCCGCTCTACTGCCACGTCCCCACAGCAATGACAACTCCTGGGAGAACTTCATCGAGGTTTCGAACACCTGCGAGACCATGAAGCTCAAGGAGCTGATGAAGAACAAGAAGATCAGTGATCCCAACCAGTGCGTGGTCTGCGATCGTGTGCTGTCCTGCAAGAGTGCCCTTCAGATGCACTACCGCACCCACACCGGGGAGCGTCCCTTCAAGTGCAGGATCTGCGGCAGGGCATTCACCACCAAGGGCAACCTGAAGACCCACATGGCGGTGCACAAGATCCGTCCGCCGATGAGGAACTTCCATCAGTGCCCCGTGTGCCACAAGAAGTACTCGAATGCCCTGGTTCTCCAGCAACATATTCGACTGCATACGGGTGAGCCGACGGATCTGACGCCCGAGCAGATCCAGGCGGCCGAGATCAGGGATCCACCTCCTTCCATGATGCCGAGTCACTTTATAAATCCCTTCGCAGCAGCGGCTTTCCATTTCGGAGCTCTGCCTGGCGGTCCAGGTGGTCCTCCGGGTCCCAATCATGGTGCTCACAATGGCGCCTTGGGTTCGGAGTCTTCGCAGGGTGATCTGGATGATAACATGGACTGCGGGGAGGATTACGAAGATGATGTCTCCTCAGAGCATCTCTCGAATAGTAATCTCGAGCAGGAGGGCGACAGACCCCGCTCTGGTGATGACTTCAAGTCTTTGTTGTTCGAGCAGAAGTTAAAGATCAATGCCACGGGAGTGGTTAACACGAACTCCGTTCGACCGCGTTCCTCCGCCTCGAGTCATGGTCATTCGGTGGGCTCCACTTCGGCGCCCACATCGCCCTCCGTTCACCCATCGAACCAGGTGATTAAGCCCAGTTTATCCCCTGCCCGATCGGATGTTTCCCAAGGAGCTTTGGACCTGACGCCACGAGCTGCTCCCACCTCGAGTTCCAGTTCGCGATCGCCGCTGCCGAAGGTGAAGCCTGAGAGTCCGCCTAGTTTGCCCAGGAGTCCCAGTGGTCCTGCCCATGCCCCCGCATCCCTGCTGAACTCACCCCTGCCGCCCACCGTGGGTATTGATTGCCTGCCCCCCGGTCTGCAACACCATCTGCAGCAGCAACATCAGCATTTGATGCAGCAGCAGGCAGCGGTTGCGGCAGCAGCAGCGGCCCAGCATCATCACCACCAACAGATGGCGGCACTACATCAGCACCAGGAGCAACTGCGTCGCGAGGCAGCCGAGGCACAGCAAAAGGCCGCAGCAGCTGCTGCAGCAGCGGCCGCAGCAGCCGCCGCCCAGCGTCAAACCTCTCCGCAACCGAATCAGCGACAGGAAGGCGGACCTGGGGCGGGACCACCACCCAACCCTCTGATGGGCGCCCGTCCGCCCTTCGGAATGTTCCCCAACCTGCCACTCTTCCCGCCCGCAACTACTCAGAATATGTGCAATGCCATGAACCAGATCGCCCAGTCCGTTATGCCGGCGGCTCCGTTCAACCCACTGGCGTTGAGTGGGGTCCGCGGCAGCACCACCTGCGGCATCTGCTACAAGACATTCCCCTGCCACTCGGCCTTGGAGATCCACTACAGGAGCCACACCAAGGAGCGGCCCTTCAAGTGCAACATCTGCGATCGCGGATTTACTACGAAGGTGAGTTAAAGATACTTTTAGTGGAAGCTTATCAAGGGGGTTAGTAAAGGGGGCTGATACTGACAACGAAAGTTCAAACAGAAAACTGACGAACAATTTTCTTTTTTCATTTATTTTCCAGGGCAACCTGAAGCAGCATATGCTAACTCATAAGATCCGCGACATGGAGCAAGAAACCTTCAGAAATCGTGCCCTAAAGTGTAAGTTTTCTAAGACTTTTCGTATGTTCCTTTTTCATATTCAAAAAGTATCTTTTTCAAGGGGTTCTATAAGTTTTCTATGGCATTTTTGTGATATTTTCTTTTGCAAGAAGTTAGTTGGGTACAAAATTTGCATTTATTTCACTTTTACTAACCAAACATTTCCTTTTTGCTTTTTCCATTTGCAGATGAGTGAGAGAAACGATGATAGCCAAAAACTAAACACTCTACACTATCACGATTGTGATCTAGAAGGCTAACCTGGCCATCAAGATCACTTGGCTCCCAGAAAGAAAGTTTGGCAATCCAAGCCCAGACCCAGTCAAGATGCAATCGATTCTCGCAACCAAATGATCTCAAGATTTAGAGCGAAATGGGAGAGGGGAGGAGGAGAGTAGGGGAGATGGGGCCGACTCTGGTGAAGATCAGTCGAGTACACAAATCCTTATATTTATAAATTTTGTTGCCCACAAAAATATTATTTGATTGTTGCTCGGAAAATGAGAAGTGAAAAAGTTTCCAACTGGAAAGCGGGCATGGTGATCGATTATGTTCCAGCCACGAGGAGGATGAGCACTTTCATAAACAATCTTTTTATGATCTGAACGGGAATTTCGCTAAATACAATACTAAGGTGGGATCATGAAACGTATCCAAAGATGCATCAAAAGCGATTTGAGTTCCAGCTAAACAAGGCGAGGGAGATCTGGAGGTGGAACCAAAGGCTGCTTGGTATTGAGAGACTGATGGCGTTTCATGTTCCACCAAAAACTAAAAACGGATTCGGAATCGGAATCTAAAGCTATACTATATATGAATCCGAATCCGAATCCAAAGCAGCTGAAGAAGAAGATAGAAAGAAAGAGAAGGCGTAGTAAAATCAAAATTCGAATTTAAAGCAAATCTTAAGGTATATGCTAATATAAATATAATAGGTACCTAAGCGAGACATGTGTACATATATATATAGATATATATATGATATATTATAACCAAACCCCCACACACACACACACACACTCACACACCAACGCATATGCATACATGTTAATAATCTATTTGGAATGTGCAATAATATGACATGCTATAAATTTAGATGCGAACGCCGAGCGCAGGCTTTTGTTTCCTACTACTCGTAAATTAGATTTATTTTCCACCTCTTGTACATACTCCTATAAATATTCACACACACACACTCTCTATTATTATTATTATTACTATTATTATTATGAATAACACACACATTTCGACATCCAAACGCTTTGCTTTCGAGTACTTGGGTTAGGAATAAAAATGGAATAAAAATCTAAAAAATATATATGAGAAATTGTGATATTAAATGTAAAAAAAAAAGAAAAATAAATACAAACTACGATTGCGGTGGCCGGGGGGAGACCCAATGATCGAAGCCCCAGCAAAATGCTTTCCATATCACAGATGAGAGAACCACAAAAGATATCTAACATTCATAGTTAATTTAGTCGTTAGCCGAGGGGACAATCCCCACCCACAAAATACACACACATACACACACACACACTCTAATTTCACTTCATTGGAAGGATTAACCCCTAGCGTTAAGTAAGTTTATTGAGCGATCGTACACGTATTGATTACCACACTTAAATTTAACACGGATACACACTCTGTTCGTAAGCATTAAGCATAGTCTCATAATTTATTACGCAAAAAAAAGAAACTAAAAATGAATCTATGGAGAAGAAACAAATAATAAATATATGTATTTAAGTTATGAAAAATTAATAAGCCCTCGTTGAGTTTTCTTTTCGGGTTTGAATACAATCTCCATCGATCGGAGATCGGCGATTCGGTTTTCTGGGAAAACCCAAAGAGACCAAGAGTTTTCCTAGTAACAGATGGGGCTGGCCTGTAATAAAAATGATTAGTCAAGTTTATTATCGTCATAATCTTTTAATTCGAAATCGAAATCGAAACGCAGAGTATCGAGGCAGCCAGCCAGCTAGCCAGCTGAGCCTGATCTGATCCATAGCAATGAAATATTTTTATTGCCTTTTAAATTGATATTTTACCTTCAACAGATTTTTGCTGCTGCCTGGTTTTGTCGGTTTTTTATCGTTAGCTTTTTATTTTGTATTTTTTTTTTTGGTTCTTCTGGTTAACTTATTTTCGGTTTTGGCCTGTTGTCTCCATTTCGATTCCACACTCTTAACGCAACTTTGATCGCGCAGTCCGATCGCTTGGCTCTCTGGCATTTTAGTCGTTAATCAAAAAATTTCCTGTTGACATCGCTTTGTCATCTTTTTAATGACGGACACCCGCTGAGTTCTGAGTGTTTCTTTTTGGTTATTGCTATTGTTATTGTTATTGTTTGTTTGTTTTTGTGGCTCATTTGGCTTTTGTGCGACTCGCCGTGATGGATGTTTGGACTGGTTTCGATTTTGAAATGTCATTTACATCTTTACATTGGCCAGGTGGCCATAAAACAATGGAATGTAGGTTTTAGATGAGATTAGCGAAGTAATAGCTGTGGCTAAGCAGTTTCAACGGTGACGATCTAGTCATTGGGAGGCCTTAAAAGTTTGCTTAATTAATTCATTTTCCTATTAGAAGTTCTTGATGAAACACTCCTTTACTAAGTCACTAGTCAAGTTACCAGCTTATCTTTAATCTTTAAAATCAAACTTAAACTTATCGTTTAGTTGTAACTTCACTAGTTACCCCCTTAAAAGATAATCATAAGCTGCAGTCAAGTCTCAAGTCAACTCTCCTTGCGATTCCTTCACTCGGCCATTACCAGCTCGCATCTGCTCTACTTATCTGCCGGATACATGACAGAGTTATGCCGTCAGTGAGTAATTAACACGGTTAATATGCCAACTTGCTGATTGTCAACTGACAAACTGTCATCGCCACGAATAGGAGGGGGAATAACTATAGATCCCGTTCCATCACCCTGTCAGCGGCTTTCTACCGAAGATCTGCTGTAGGTAGTCCTGTATCTGTCAGCGGCATTTCCCGGCACCTTCGAGATGCATTATTATGAAGGCACCTCAAGATATGTGTACAGACAACCCCTGGTTGAGGGTTGAACCTCCTGAGTTGAGTTATTGTGTGCCTCATGAGGATGTTAATTCGGGCCGTGTAATTGCCGCTCTCATTCCAACAGTTTATTTACAACGAGTTTTCAACAGTTTTGTCACACATCCAGGGGGCAACCCTTTTTGCCCGTTCGCTTTTTAGTTTAGTTTAATTTGGGGCAATTTAATGGATTTACGGCACGAGAGGGCAAACGTCTCCATTGCCGCTTTGCCGCTTTGCCCGTTAAATGGCATCAAATTTAACTGGCGAATAAAGTGGCCGATCCACGCACTAACAACGGCAACAACAACAATCGCAACCTGATAACTATTAAGATAACTACTGCAGCCATATTCGGATCCGGGATTGGGATTGGGTCTGCCTCTGGTTGGGGGCTAGGAAATCCTTGAAAGCGCTGGCAATAAATGCAAAAATCCTTACAAATAATATGAGAATGGTTATGGGCAGTGTGCGGGCTTATCGCAGGCATAAAACCAAACACTCGCACACACCCAGTCCGGCGACAACGCAAACACCGAAAACAATCTAAACAAGAAAAATTGCACAAATTGCTGGGCTTCAGTTTGGTTCTCAGCTCTTTGGTACATCGTCTCAGTCTCTGATATCGCAGCTTCCAAACATCATCATCATCATCATCGCCGTTACGGTGGGCCTGATTCGATTTTTAAGGCTCATAAATTAACTTCCATATCGATGGGGGGTTCTGAAACATTTAACTAATTGAGCGACGCTTCCTGATTTTTTGTTTTTTGTTTTTGCATCGCCGATGTTTGATAAATGATTACATGAATACTTTAAGCTGTTTCCGTTTACTTTGTTTAAGCCGATCGGTATCTAAAATTGTATTGCAATTCGATATTAATTAAGAGAGGACAGGTTACTTCCAGAAATCATTACTTTTTGTTACATTTCGCTGACGTACGAGGTGTGTTCAAAAAGTAAGGTGACTCTTCAAATTTCGCGAATTTCAAATTTTTCGATTATCGAAACCTTTTAGAAGTTATACGAGGTGTGTTCAAAAAGTAAGGTGACTTTTCAAATTTCAAATTTTTCAAATTTTTCGATTATCTTCAGTTTTGGGAACAAGAAAAAGTCACATGGGGCCAAATCCGGTGAATATGGTGGCTGAGGCATTATTGTGGTGTTGTTTTTGGCCAAAAAATCCAAATCCTTTGATCCATATTTTTCGATAGTAACTTTACGCCTCTCACAACCAAACAAAAGAGGATGTTCCATTGAAACTTGGTACAGATGTTAGGGAAGAGTGTACCAATATAACAAAACAAAAAAATCGATAATCGAAAAATTTGAAATTCGCGAAATTTGAAGAGTCACCTTACTTTTTGAACACACCTCGTATGTCGGTTTTTAGACTTAAATATCCTAACAATCAGTTCATTTTTAGTCGTTCGCACTTAAAGTCATTTCCTTGTTTACTAAAGTATATAAAAATAAAATATTTAAATTTAAAAACAGATGCAAATAATAGCATAGACTGCTTTTTTAACCAACTCTGCTCCGTTTTGTCCCACTGTACATCTAAACAACATGCCCAACGACACCAGCAACACCGACACGGGCAACAAAAGGCAATAACACCAAAAGCAACAACAACAACCACTACTAAACACACACACACACGACTAGTAGAAGGCAGGGGAGGGGGTGAAAACACTTCAATAGGAAAATCTAACGATTTGTTTGCATTTTTATTATTTCCTGCTGCTGCTGCTGCTGCTGAAATTGTCACAAAATAAAATAAAACTAACAATCATTCGGGCAAATATCAACAGGAATATGCCAATGTCCCTCAGAATTCCCCCCATATCTATATATATATATTCCTATATATATGGATATGGTAAATCCCTGTCCCCTCGAAAATGCAACACCCGCCTTAATGGTGTTTGAGTAGCCGTATCTGTGTATCGGCAAGTGTCAGTTTGGCACATCATTTGGCTTGGGCCCCGGCACACAATGGCGGCCTCCGTTTGAGTTTGAGTTTGAGCCGCCGCTGGAGAGGAGTTGGTCCCAGCATTTTGACGTCGGCAGATTTGGAGAGAAGTCTGCCAGAGATCGGAGGCTGGAAGACGCTTCTGGAGAACCTTGACTTCAGTCTTCAGAGTGCACAGGGAGAAAGGGAAACTAACTTGGCTTGCTGAGACTGAAGAGTAATCATAGCTGCACTATTAATGAACCTTTATTTCTTCCAGTGCATTACTAAAATCCATCTGCAGACCTTGGCTATTCAGAAGCTGAGCTTGACACGCGCTCGCATTTAGGCAACATTATGCAGGGGATTACTTGACGGCCTGCTTCTGGCGGAGCATCATCCTGTCGAGAAGCTATAGATTCCTCTGGTCACGTGGCGGTGGCTCGTGGCTGTCTGTTTGGGTAATCGACACCATCATAATATTGCCTTGCCAGATTAATTGGCCTTATGATGTGTATGTCGCTCTATGGATGGGATATGTCTGCGATATTTCTGTGATATTTTTGCGGCTTATTTGATATGCTCTTGCGGTTGCATCAAATCTTTTAGAAAACGCCCCAGCACACTTTTGTTTAGACAGGAAAGTAAGCTGGGATTAGATGAGATCTGGTACCTTTAGATAAAGTTTCAGTTTGCCTTAAAACAAGACTTTTCATATATATTTTTCTTTAATATTTACCTTTACCCATTAAATTCCCCCCGTAAAATATGATCAACATGCATCCAATAAGTGGTCCTATCCTTCGAGATACTGAATCCACTTTCCGCTGGCACTTATCCTGGCAGCCATTAGTCCAAATGAGACTCGGGACTGGGCCGCACACCACATCACTCGACGGAGACAATCGAAGGCGATTGACTTGGCTGGCACGCCCTGTCGAAGTCGAATAATTTGCGCCGCTTCTTCGCTTTCCCGCTATCCCGCTTTTTCCCATTTTCCCGCTTTCCCGCTGCAAATGATGAGGCATTAATCGGGCCGATCGGACCTGCCCCCTGGGCGTGGAATAAAACAGAGCAAAACGGAACAGAGATTCTGGGAGAGACAAAGCCCGGTTTGGGAATTCTAAGCGGGATGCTGATGCTGATGCTGGACATTTGCAGCAGTCAGCGCGATTTACTGCTTGGCTGCTTACCCCTTCAAATGGGAGGTGGGTGGTGTGGCATGTGGCAGTGGGCGGGGTGTGGAGTGTGTGGGAATGGCCATGTGATTACATGAAAAAAAGCACTGGAAAGCTAGTCAACTTTCAAACCAATTTTTGCCAGGCGGCAGCTCAGCGCAAAGCGGAGAGCCAAGTAGAAAATTACAACAGTTTATACTCCCGATACAGAGGAGGTGGTTCCAGGGAGGGCTCACAAACAACAATCCCGCAATCCCAGCAGCAATTTTCAAAATTTCAATCCCCAATGCTGCTTGTTATACCCTTAGCAAAGGGTTAATATGACTTTTATGGATAACATATCATTAATAAAATAATGCAACTTTGTAATGAGATTACAAAATGAAAGGATAGTCAACGAAATTCTAAAGACAGATTTTCAAGTGGATCACTGGAGATCATAAACTTATCTTAATTGGGAATAATTTTATAAAATATATATTTTAGTTCCTTATTTTTGCAAAAACCATAAACAATATCGATTACTTAAAGAGTATTTTAATCTTCCCCTCTAATATTCCCCACATCTTCACTCATTTTTCTT